CCACCGCCCCCACTCCCCACCCCTACACACTTTCCACTTTCCACTAGTGCTACCAAAATGCTTTCTACAAAGGTTGCGGTTGTGTGAATGTTGGATCCAAATCCAAAATCCATAACTAGAAAACCCAGTATAAGAACTGAAAGAAGTTTTTCCGTTTTGAAATTTCGAAGCAAGCGCGCGCGTCGGACCGGAAGTGTGTATTTGCACAGCTTTCCTCTGCCTTCTAGCTGAGTCACAAAACCGCCCCTTGTTCAAAGAAGATGGCAGCTTTGGCAGGCGAAGCTGCAAGGCTCAACATCTGACAAGTCCTGGAAGTCCTGACATTTTTGGTTAAGGTTTCACTGTTTCGTTCTTTTTAACTGCTCATCCTGTCCTACGCTTTAAGTCTCGTGACATTGTACTGCTTAGTCCAGCAATTAAAACGCTTACATGCCTTGGATGTAGCGTTATTTACAAGTTTGTGGTAGGTATCACTCAGGTGAATTGTCTTCATTTCATAGTCCTTTGGTTATATTGTAGTCTTCTGTTCCATTTTAATTGTAAACTTCTTAAAAACCTGGCTATTGTTTCCATGAGAACTATTTTTAATTCATCTACGAAGAATTTCATTGACTTAAATGCAAATACCATATTTCCTGGTTCAGACTCATTTGTTTGTGTACACTTCACTTCTACCAAAATATTACCTTGTTGTTGTTGTTTGTCTGTGCCAGTTTTCCCCTTAATTATCTGCTCGAATTTTTCATGTTATGTTACTGTTTTCTCTCGTACAGGTAATTTTGGTGGGTCACATTTAAACCAATTTGTGAATTTTCATCCTGTTGAATCGTTTCATCGCCTTATTTGACTTTGTGAATCCTGTTCTGCCACAATTGTGAGAACTTCCTGTGATTTTTACCTCACATGACTTGGTAAGTTATTATGTATGATTATGAAGCTATTTTTACATTTTGTAGTGAATCTTGGAATTATGTTCCCTGGGACATAAAATGGTCAGCGGACCCCATTGCTTTGTACTCTTATATATTGATGTTCCTTGATTGTATTTCAAATTTAATCAATTTGTTTACGTCATATTCATGTTGTTTTTTTGATAAAATGTACAACTTCGTTTCTAAATAATGGTTTTTACTCTTTGTTCACAGTGCATACTATATTCTGCACACTTCGTGTAAGAATTGACTCATTAGTTTATCCATCTATGTCTTTAATTGAACTAAGACATTTTTATACTCCTAATTGTTCTGAAAAATGAGTGAAAACTCTAATGTACCTGTTGGGGAGTCTGGCGTTTCTCTGGTAACCACACAGATGACATCGGAAGAAATGAACAGGTAAGAAATAATTGTTTTGTTGTTGTCTCTTAATTGTTTCCAAATTATTGACTGGCTCCTGTTTTAATATAAACAATTAAACAGGTATTGTGAGGCATCTGTTGTGGTTACATCTGAAGGTGTAATGGAGTCGTCTGATGTATCCACTTCCAACTCAGTTATTATGACAACACCTCGGACCCAGGAGGTTCCAATGGTCAGTTTGTCAGGAGGGAAGGCAGTTTACCTTTCTGACCAATTTACGGCCGTACTTGTGAGTAATTTGTTTTAAATGTACCAATATTTTTTCCTGTTTATTATGTCTATCATTCACCTCAGCCTCACATAGACAACATAATCTTTTTCTAGTATAAGTTATACCTTATCCATTTATTTTTCAGGTTAAACCAGAGTCACTACTTTACGGTGTAGAAGTCCCTATTGTTAAGAAAGAGCCTGGAGAGATGGCTTCGAATGAAATGATGACCGTCCCTACTACATCAGCTGTGTATTCAGAGGGTGTTTCTGTGCCTGTCACACAAATTCCTTGGCTTGCACCCATCAGCCAGTCTGTTACTCAGAAAGAGGTCTCAGGCTCTGAGGATGCACAGAAAGCGCAAATCTTGGTACATGAAACTTCACCTGATTCTGCATCAGCTACTCCTGCAGCTCCATACATGTTTGAAAGCAAAGATAGACTGTTCGAGTGTGAATTTTGCCCAAATATTCGTTTTACTAGAGGACAGTTGCGCCGTCATAAGACTGTCCACTTGGGTCAAAGAAATTATGTCTGCAATACATGTGGAAAGAGGTTTGCCTGGAAACATTCATTACTGAAACATGCTGTTTTGCATACTGGACAGGCGCCGTTTTCATGCAATCAGTGTGGTAAGTTGTTCTCAGCAGCACATCACCTTCAACATCATGTGAAGCAGCATGATGTTCAAAGACGATATGACTGTTCAAAATGTGACAAAGTCTTCAGTCAGCCTGAGGACCTCGCTGTCCATATTGAATCTCACTCAAGCTCTGAGACATATATGTGCAACATCTGCGCCAAATGCTTTGCTTCTAAATTTGAGTTGACTTCCCATATGCGTGCGCACAATGAAGCTGCTGGTACAGTAGTATCAACTGGGGCGCATTCGCTCATTAAACAGAATGTGGCACCAGGGGGTATGGTGTACCTCACTCAACCTGACATGTCAGCTGCACAGATGATTTCTCATCCAAAACTTGGTGGAGCAGTTAATCAAATAAGTCCGCATATTGTTACACTTCAGGCAGCAGTCCCTAATGTACCTGTGACTTCAGTGGCCTCGTGTCCTAGCACCTAATATATTTTCATTACAATACTGTATTATTGTATGCAATGAATTGTAGCCCATTGTCTTCCTACTAACTCTTCTTGGAACTCTTTTTCTTGTGATATTGTGTATTTAAACAGATTTTTGTTGTCAGTTACTATTGTTCTTTCAAAACCAAAGCGTTTTCTCTAGGCCTTGTTAGCCTTCAATTTCATCTCAACAACTTAAGAGATTAATATTATTCTTAATGCTTCTCCAATGGGTTATTGCTAGAAAAATAGATTTGTTCATCTAGTGTGAGGATCTTTTCTCTTTTGCAAAGTGCTTTACAAAAGTTTATAGGTGTTTCAAAAGTTGACTTTTCTTTACAATTTCATTTTTAATGTGTAATTTTAATCCAAATCAAATGTGGAGTAATATTCAAGCACTGTAGAATTTTTTTCTTCACTGATATTCATTCTCAACTGTTTCCTCTTTAAACAATTTATTGCTTGTCTCTCTCCTGACCAATTTGTACTGCACTTGCAATAGATTAGTTGCACATACTCTTTTCCTCATACAGCATCTTCTTAAAAAAAGAAACTTCCTACTGCTCTCTATCTTAGTGCAGACATTGTTTCATCTGTCTTTTTTTCTTTTTTTTTTTTCCAACTTTCAACATTTACACCTGGCTTTATGATATCTTGAAAAATTTATCCTAGATAGGCTTGAATTTTGATCAAGGATTCAAGGAGTTTTGTTGGTCAAAGTTTCTTCTTAATGTTGATTTGTTGGAATTGCAGTGAAATTTGCATGGGAAACTTACCTACTTGTGATCATTGTTAGCTTGTGGACATACAAATGTGGATTTTCAGTGTGGAAAAGTTAAACTTAGTCCCATTATGGTCTTTGATGCTTTTGAAGACGTGGGTAAGTCAGTACTCCATCCACTTTTACAACTTCACTCCTGGGTGACTGATTGTTCTTGTAAAAAATAAGAAAACTATCGGTGCTTTCTCCCAAGCTGTGTTTCCTATGTGATAAAATTAGGCAAGGTTGCATTTAATAGTATGCCATTAATTACAGTCTATTTTTGTGTCATCTTCTGTTACACTTGTTGTAAATGTTATAAATTTTATGATGGTTAATGTTTGATTGGTTATAAGAATGGCTTAGATATTATATGTTATCTTACTGCATTTAAAGATGTATGTATAGTAGTATGAGGTGCTTACCTGAACTCGCACTGGCTGCTATTTACAACACACCTTCTGTGTCATACAGAACTTACATAACATTATTATATTATTTTTTTTTTCATTTTGTTTTCTATTTAAATGTTAGGCTTAGATCTATCAGGAATGTATAAAATACTTAATTAAAATTCTTCTAGAATTTTGAATATAGTTGGTGGAGAAAATGTGCCCTGCAGTCATTTGTTTCAGAAATGATGTAAAATTTTAAAATTGCAATGAAGCAGAGGTGTGTAGTCATTGAAATTGGCATGTTAAACTTTTCATAAATCCAGTTGCTGAAACAAGGAGATGGGCTTTTTAGATAGACTTTTGTATGTGTCACAAAAATTGATCATATGTGAGAGACTTCTGATTTGGATCCATGCTTCATGAGTTTGCCAATTCCACCAATTTGTTCTGTAGTCTTCGTAATTGATATTGCTCAGAAGCTCATGCTTGTAGTGTGCAATACAAGATTTTTTTTATCAAATTCTGGCTCTTAGTCTGTAGCTGACATTAAAGTGTTGTTTTTTTTCCATTTTTTTTTACAGTTATAATAATTGTGTATCCAGTTTGCCATGCCTTTAAAAGAAGGTTTGTTGTTACCACTTAGGATCTAAGAGTCTTGTTTGTGTTCTATTAATACAAATATGATTTGTTTTATGACATTCAACCAATTTGGCAAAGCGCATTATATACATGTGTACCTTGCAAAAGTTCCTCTCAAGCTAAGCATCTTGAAAAAAATAATTAATAAAAAATATAGTAAATAATTTAAAGTAATTCTTTACTCGCCGACATGTGCCTTTCTTCCAACGCCGCTCGTCAGTCATTGTGAGACCAGACCAAAGTCACTCGCCTAGTCTGCATGGAGCTGGAGATGTGAGTCGGGCATTAGAGACAGTGAGTGGGAGGAGAGTATAATCGAGAGCAAACTGGACAGGCCGGGCCGAGAGGAAGGCCCAACCTCCTGGAGGACAGGGCCGCCAGGGTTGCCTCATCAGGCTGGATACAGTGCTGCATGTCCAACCCGCCAGCCCGGGAGGCTCTCGGGGCGCGGCGGCCGAGGCGGCGGCGCCACGCAGCACCCCCACCCCTCCCCTCCGCGCTCC